AAAAAATTATGTTCATTATTAATTACCACTGATCTCATCAGATGAGTCTTTAGTACCAGGAAACTGTCAGGATCATGATGGCAGATACAAGATTTTCAAAATTCTAATTTTCATTCAAAAGCTTGAATTTTATCATTGGCAATAAGTCAGTTGTTTTCCTTGAAGTGATGGGCTAACTTTGTTCATTTTTGAGAAAATGTCTGCCAAATATGCAAGTTTGAGTAGCCGTAGTTTGTCACTTGCTCTTTCAAGTAAAAATAGTATCCCACAAAAAAAAGCAGATAGTTCATCTTCCAGCTCAAATGATGGCATAAATGCTTTTCCTTGGGACAGCCATTGTACTTCACTATGCAGCACAAGTGCTTTATGTGTACTTTCCACTTTGTCACACAAAATATGAAGAAGATGTGTACTCAAGGGTTGAGATTTAACAAAATCAATAATTATTAGAGTGACATCAAGGACGTTCTTAAGCGAAACTAGCATTTTCTTTTTACTGTGTGGCGGTAAAAAATACAGTGACTACTAGTAGTTGGGTACCATTGCCTTGGTTTGTGCTCAGATGCCAGCAGTTTTATCCACCATTGCTTTTGCACCATCATCACAAATGTCAAATGGTGAAAAAAGCAAATAACATCTTAGTATTATTATGAAAATAGTTTTGACCTCGAGGACCCTCAGAAAGGGGCTTGGGAATCCCTAGGGGTCTGTGGACCACATTTTGAGTATCACTGCACTAAATTTTTGCAAAGGGCCAGCCCTCGTAGGACGGAAAATATAGCTTCTAGCACACTTGGGAGGAGAGCTGAGGTCTTTTTCACACAGGGCAATTTGCCTTACTTTTTGGAACCTGAGATGGACTTTTTTTTCTTTGCAGAAGTGAAGGCATCTGGCTTGGAAGCGTGATTATTCTCCACTCACCTTTAAACTGCCTCAGTTATTACTAAGTCTCTGGCAGTGATATGTTGATTATGTGAATTTAAAGCCCACAGGAGCCAGAGGAATGACAGATCAGATTCCCTTCAACGAGAAATAAAATCCAGGAGCCTGGCAGCAGGACATACGGCTCTCACTCCCGCTGACCTTTGGTGTCACTCTGGAGAATGACTGATTCTGGGCCAGATGGCATGTGGCTTAAACGGAGATGTCTCAACCTGCTTCCTAGCATTAATTGTGCACGTTGATACTCCTTCATTGTACAGTCCATAATTCTTCATCGTCAACATCATTTAGACTTTTTTTTGAGGCAGCTGAATTCTAGCAGGCCTCCATGAATCCAAGCAATTTCAAAAGGCCCCATTTCGAGATATCACCTCACACCTGTCAGAATGGCTATAATTAACAAGACAGGAAACAACATGTGTTGGAGAGGATGTGGAGAGAAGGGAACTCTCATACACTGCTGGTGGGAGTGCAAACTGGTGCAGCCACTATGGAAAACAGTATGGAGATTCCCCAAAAAATCAACGATAGAACTACCATATGATCCAGCTATTCCACTGTTGGGTATTTATCCAAAGAACTTGAAAACACCAATTTGTAAAGGTACATGCACCCCTGTGTTCATTGCAGCGTTATTCACAATAGCCAAGACTTGGAAGCAACCTAAGTGCCCATCAAGGGACGAATGGATAAAGAAGATGTGGTATATATACACAATGGAATACTACTCAGCCATAAGAAACGATGAAATCCAGCCATTTGTGACAACATGGATGGACATTGAGGGTATAATGCAAAGTGAAATAAGTCAGAGGGAGGTCAAATACTGTATGATTTCCTTCATTAAGTAGTAGATAATAACAACAATAAACAAACACATAGAGACAGAGATTGGATTGGTGGTTACCAGAGGGGAAGGGGGGAGGGAGGAGGGTGAAAGGGATAATTCGGCACATGTGTGTGGTGATGGGTTGTAATTAGTATTTGGGTGGTGAACATGAAGTAATCTATGCAGAAATAGAAGTATAATGATGTACACCTGAAATTTTTACAGAGTTATAAACCAATGTTACTGCAATAAACAAAAAATTAAAAAAAAATACAAAAAACAAAAGGCCCCATTTCTTTTAAATCTCCAAACCCAACCCTTTTTATATCCAATCACTGTTACAGGTTGACAGACACTGACTCTCTCTTTTGTCAATTGAATGTAAGTCTAGCAACTTTTAAGAGCAAGGAGATTGAAGGACAGTCTCTATGCCCTAAAGGAGGTGGCTGGATGGAAGCCCATTTAACTTTTTGTTTAAAGGCACTAAATAAGGATCAATTTGTAAAGGCAGCTTTTCAAGAGTAGCAAGATAGCTTCTTAAATCTGATGGGGATAAATGGAAGGTCAATACCTTTTATCTTATCAACAGTTTAACCAAATTATATTTATTAAGGGCTTTCAGGTCAGGCTTCTCAGCTATAAACAAGCAAATACTCAAGGCAGAGCAGCTCCTGGATGTGGGGTGTCTAGACTAGAAGTTAACATTGCTCGTCTGTGGTAAAGCATGCTTTCATGACCCAAAAACTGAACTTAGAATTTATTTCTAAAATAATATGAAGTAGACTCAATGAGCAACAAAAGCAAATTTAGCCAACTAGGGAAGAGAGCTGGCTTTTTTCACTGAGGGTCATGTGTAAGGACAACATTCTGTCATATGAGAAATGTCCCAGAAGGAAAAACACTGGTTCCAGGAAAGAAGAGAAAATAAGTTATGGACATTATATTTGACAGACTTCTTCCCCTTTGTATTCAAGGTGTTTGAATTTTATGCACATCACTAAAAAAAAAAAATATTGAGCCCTCATAAAGAGCCTGGCAAACAAGTAATTGTAATTGTAAAACAGGAATATTTGCATATGTCTTAATGCTGTAAGTTTTAGTTTTTGTTTAGATTCTGGTTCACTGTTTATATAGGGGCAGAATATCTATGCTTTTGTAAGAACCACTTTGGTTTATTAAAATATACAGCTTCTTTTTAAGCCAATAAAATTTCGAATTATTTAAAATTTAAATCAACATGTAGTGGGAGGCCTGGTTGGAGAGAATAAAGTGTGTTCGCTTTAGTGTTTAGGCAGGTTAGGTGTGTTTGGAGAGACTATGAGATGGGCCCATAAGGAATTTATTTGCATGAGGGATGAAGTTGCCTCCTGGGAGTGAATGAATCCTAAGAGAGGATAGCATTGCTGGAATACTGAAAAGGTTCAAGAACTAGGGAAGGGTGTCAGAAGTGAGTGACATTGTATATTCAAACTGAAACCAGCTACTATGAGCTTGCACTGCCTGAGTCTTTGCAGGAGGTGGGGGGCAATAATTAGGAGCAAGTAAAAACTAAAAGAGCAATTTCAGAAAATTCTCTTTAACACATTGGAGAGTGTTAAGTCTGAAGTGCTTTGTAGCTCATATAATAGAGTGAAAGAAAAGAGGGCAAAAAAGTCCATTTATCTTCTTGGACTTATCAGCACCTTCAGTGAATATTTTTTCTTTGCTGGGGTAGCAATGACTTTGGGCATTGGTGGGCACTGGTGACTTTGGTGATTATCTGGACATCGTTGTGTTTTCACCATTGGTGTAGCCAAGAACCAACATCCCAACAAGCCAGACCAGAGAAAATAAAAGCCACGTAATTCCCAGTCACCATGTAAAACAATAATGGGACTAGGAATAGTTCTCTGTTCCTACATTAATTCTAAGAATAAGCAAACTTAGCTACTTGTTCCAGGAGATACTGTTTCCTGAAGATAAAACTGTGAGCCAACTAAAAGAATTTACTTAACAAGAATAACATACTCCCCATCAACACTCACTTCAATATTCTCACCTCACTGTGCCTACCAATCCATAGCTGTCATGCTATAAATCCACCCAATTCACCTTGCAGGACTGCCCTAAAATCACCTGGCCAGTCCCTAATATCCTCTCCTGCCATCCCCCTTCTGAGACACTATTCAGACTCTGTTAAGGTAGTGTTCTCCTATACCGCAGTAAGTCTAAAAAACTTTGCTTTGATTGATCAATGGTTTTTTCTGGTGTTTTTTTGGGAGACTTGACAGTTGACGTAGCCAAAGGGTAAATGTCTGCACATTCAGAAGAGACCCCCTGAGGTGTAGAAGAGCCACAATTATGGGTAGGGGTGGACCCAAGTAAATATCGTTTGTTGTTATTTTTGTGGTCTAGTTTCTACTTGCAGGAAGGTAAGACCTGTGGAAATTTGGCCTAAATACCCATAATCATTCTTTAAGCAAGAACAGCAAATGTCTAGCCCTGTGAAATTACCATGTTCACTACTTTTTACATGATTCTTCCTTGATAAGATAAATACAGTGCTCCCTTCCTCCAGACAAAGGTGATTTTAAATTCATTGTATCATGACAAAATCTTAAAGGGATATGTGTTCGTAAATATGCCTATATACATACATACACACACACACACACACACACACACACACATCCACCATTGAGGAATTTAAGGCAGTTTACAAAAATACAATAGGATAAAAATAAATAAGGCAGTCCCAGAAGGCAACACTCTATGGGGGCTGCTTGGCGCTTATTCTTTTGGCTACTGCTGTACTCCCTTTCCTCATTCCCATCAGTCTCTCTTTCCACAGTTCAAGGCCACTTTCTCTTATGGCACATGAAGAGCAGCCTTAGCAACCTCAACACTGAAGCTCTTTCTCTCCCTGTCCAAACTATGCCTGACTTCCTCCTGAGAGTATTGGGATAGGGCAGGGGAGAGGAGAGGAAGCCCTTGGAGGCCAGAGCTACGCGGGGCGAGGCAGCGATCTGATCTCACTTCCGCCTCCTGGGCTCAGGAAGGCTGTGCTTTTCATGCGAAGTCATTGACTTCCACTCCCAGGTGCCTTGAGAGCCAAAATACGGATCACTCTGAAGCTGTTAATGGGTTACCAGGTCCTGAGAGTTCTGGATCATCAGGTGGCCTTGATGTTTGAAGACAAATTCATTTAAAGCTCATTTCAAAGCAAGTTAGCAAAGGCAAATCTGTGTCTCAAACTCCAAGGACTATGAGCGGGATGCCTGCTGGTGAAGAAGAACTTGAATATAACAAATAAGGGCACTATGACTGTAAAGGAGGTGAACCTTTGGGAAAAAAGAAAAAATTTCCCAAATGCCTTTGGGAGGACTTTAAGATAAACATTATAGGTGAAAAGGATGATTCACCAGTCAATTTCTGTGACAAATGTGATTTGCCTATTAAAATCGATGGGCGAATGATTCCATACAAGCATGCTTTTTGCTATGACTGTACTAATTTATACAAACAAAACAAAACAAAAACAAAATGGAGATAAGATGTGTCCAGGCTGTAGTATTCCTGTGCTGCAAATTGAGGAGTATACAGGAGGTTCTATCTTCATGTGTAGCACTGTCCAAGGATGCAAGAGGACATATTTGTCTCAAAGAGACTTACAAGCTCCTATCAACCACCGCCACAAGAGGGCTGAAAAACTTACCTGTGCTCCACTTGAAGAAGTTCATCCTTGCATTGCCTCACCAACAACTGAAATCCTTGAAGCGCTGCTAGACGAGAACCATATGAGCCATATTCCACCAGAGCAGCACACCATGATGTCACCACCTCCTGTGGAACATGTACCACACAAGCATGATAATCAGCCACATGTGGATCTTTGTGCTCCTCTAGCATTTTCTCCACCCCCACCTCCTTAGGTTCATCAGAAAGCCGTTACTATTTCAACAAGAGAACACAGCAATTTAATAATCATCCCTATTCAGGATGATTCAAATTCTGGTGCTAAAGAACCATCATCTCCTGCCCCAGCACCTGCTCACCATCATCCTGAATATCAAAGTCAACCGGTGGTCTCACACCCTTGTCATATGCCTCCAGAGCAACATGCACCACTTCCATTTCCTCCATCACCAATAAGCCATCCAATGTCATATTCTCTCCAGAATTCAGGTACTCCTCACCTGGTTTGTAGTCAAGTGCCACCTCCACCCATGACTTCTGATCCATCACCAATAACTTCTTCCCCTGGATATATTATTGCCCATGTGCTACCTTATATCACTCTTCCTCCTCCAAGATCTCCTCTATCTCAAAATGGTGGTCTACCTGTAAGTGAATTCTCTTTTAACCATTATAATACTAACTCTTTACCCCAGTTCACTGAAAAACAAGAAACTCTGAGCCCTCCATTTACACAACCAGATGGAACAAATCCTGGTATATGGCACGTATCAAAAAGATGTTTACCTCCTCCATCAATGCAAGCTCCACCTTCCCCAACCCCACTTCCTGGATCACATTCAGATCAGACAAGATATAGACCATATTAACAATGATAATAGTATTTTGAACTGAAGAGCTGTTAAGGAAAAAAAACTTAAATATTGTCAACCTTTTAATTAAACTTTGATTGTTTTGGGAAGGAAAAGCACCTCTTACAGAGATAGCTGTAAAACATTTAGGATCTTATCTCTTAAAATGGTTTAAACCTTGACTTTACGATTTATTTCAAGTCTTATAATGTAGTGTGGATAAATGGCTCAGTTGAGCACAGCTGTATTTTAACAACTTTGTTCTCTTAGTGTGGTAAATTGACCCAGAAGTGACTTTTTGTAATATGAGTTCCTGAAATAAATTTGCATTGTTCCACTTTCAAAAGTATTGTTTTTGTTTAATTTTGGGGGATATATTTTGTTAACCTGTATAAAAGGTTTAAATTTCAATACGGTTGTAAAAATGCCATTTTTATGTGAATTTAAGCATAGTCACATACTGTTTTTTAAAAAAACGTGTTTTACCACTAATATCCCAAAGTACAATAAGAAGCCTAGAAGTGAAAATCTAGAATATACTGCAAGGCAGACAGCTAAATGGTAGAGAATTATTTCACATTTTAGGCACTGAAATTTTGAGGTATAGTAAGTGTATAATGCATTTCACTTGTATGCCTTTCCATTTCAAGGCAGCTCCAGAAGCACCAAAATACACTGGAATTCCAGTACTATGATAGATTTATGTTTGTAATGTTAAAAGGCATTACTAAATCATTTGGAAAGATGTGGCCAAAGTAATCGACTCTGTAAGCTCCAAGCTGGTGGGGATGCTGTTACTTGCTAAAACTTTTCTCAGGATGGTTGGAATCACACGATGCACCACACTTCCTAGTCTTGAGTAACATTATGTTATAGCACTGTTTAAATGGTGTCATTTAGATGACGTGTGTGCTACTCTGCTCATTGTCTTAAACTAAATATTTAGGGCTGAATAGACTTTAGTATAATTCCTCATTTCATGGTAGAGTTTGGTCCCGTTCTTATGGTTTCTTGTTTATTGGGTTTTATTTTATTTTTTTTATTTTATTATTTTTTTTTTAAAGATTTTTATTTATTCATTTTTTTCCCCCCAAAGCCCCAGTAGACAGTTGTATGTCATAGGTTCACATCCTTCTAGTTGCTGTACGTGGGACTCGGCCTCGCGTTGGACGGAGAAGTGGTGCCTTGGGGCGTGCCCGGGATCCGAACCCGGGCCGCCAGCATCAGAGCGCGCGCACTTAACCGCTAAGCCATGGAGCCGGCCCGCGTTTATTGGGTTTTAAACTACAATTTAAGTGCCATGGAGGAATTTGAATAATGTATTAATGACAGGCATTCTTATAGTTACGACTCGCATTCGCTTGGGATTCATTATTGTGTGATAAGTGTTTTTCCCTCTAACTTGAAATAAGAAACTATTCTTTCCTGTTTCTTTTATTGGTGAAGGATTCTAAACTTGGAACACTTTAGCATGAAGTTAACAGTGAAGACTACCAGATGACTTTGTATTGGAGAAGAGAAAAGTAATGACTAAATTATATGAATTTCATTGCTTTATAAGGTGCCTTTAGAATCAGCTTTTGCATCACAGGGACTTGTTACATTCCTGCTAAGATGACCACCTACACTTTATACAGAATTCATATGGATGAACTGACATTCTGAAGATATTATTATGTATCATTTGAATAAACCCTCATGAAGTTTTTCCTCCCCAAATTGTACATAATATAAACATGAAATGTCTAGTATGTGGATATAACCTATTAGATAGTTTATAGTATATAAATTTAGAACATATTTCTTTTTGGCAAAGGATGAACTGATTGCTGATTTATCATTTTCTTCTGTTGGATACAGGCAAAACCAAATTCTTATTTTGGCTGATCAGATGCAAACACATCTCTGAGCTTAGAGCTGAAGTTAGAAATAATATAAATGGCCATTTTAACCTTGACCAGCCTAAAATAACTAATACACTTGTTTGAAAAACAAGTGATTTTTCACACCTAGCAATTTGAGAATTCAGTGTTAATGCAATATTTCTAGTGAGAAAGCCTTGTTCTTAGAAGTACAGAGTGTAATAGTGTGAAATGTTAGTGGCACATGCTTCTATCATATTATTATAGGCACTTGGACTGGTACAACTTGATTCCTTTTTTTGCCTGAGTTTAGAAGCTGTTAAAATATTACCGTTAAGATACAATACCGTTCTTTGTTTTGTTTAATAAAAAATAGCCAAATTCACTTTAAGTCTTCTCAACTATCTATGAAGAGCCCTCCTGCATTTATTGAAATTCACTAGGGTTGAATGTGGCATGAAACCACTTAGATGATGTATTGGATCAAAAAATCAGTATTGTGATAAAATTTCACATGTTAAAAAGAGGTAGACTTTTAAAAAATGATGTTTTCAGTTAGGTTTAGGAAATACACGTTATGCAGCAAAGCAGATCAGATGAATGTGTTGTAGCAGACAAAATTTTTAAACAGCATTAGGCGTGAACTCATCCAGTTAGCGTTTGAATGACTGTGGTGAGTAGAAAGATAACAAAATTACTGTTAATGTTTCTTTCTTTAAGGAAAAACATAATGTGAATCCTACCTTATATCAGAGGAGGCTTTGAAAGCTATAATGGACATAGGTCTAAATTAAATGTGTGTACAATGCATTATATTACTCTGAAGACCAGTGCGGTGGCAGTTTAATTCTTAAAAACAATAAAATGGATGCATAAATACTAAAAAAGAATACTTATAAAAAATAAAAATAAATATCAGGGAAAGGGAAAATGAAGGTAGAATGAATAGTAAAATCAAACCCAAGTTGAAGTTGGAACCAAAAAAATTAGAACCAGAAAATCCCGCACCGTTGTTAATAATGGATGAAATGTGGTTACAGCAAAGAGGCAAAATAAAAACACGTCCATTCCGCGGGGAGCATAAGTCTGATACTGAGCAAAAGTTTTTTTGTGGGTGCCCATAAAATGGTCACTGTGTAATACAGGGTGGTGGTTCCTGATTCTGACAGCAAGAGAGAACCTCCTGGAGAGTCTGCCAAAAATAGCAGCCTTTGCCTTATTTCCACAAGATTCTAATTGAGCAGGTTTGCAGGATGGATGGGGCTTAGTACTCTGTCCTTTCAGTAAGTATCTTAGGTGATTTGGAAGCAGCTGCCTGACAAATTTAGTCACTGGTCACCCAGTCTCCATTCTCAGTGGCCTACCATCCTTCCTGTACACGGCAACCAAGGTAATCATTTGAGAATGGAAATCGGCCCTCAGATGGGTTTGCATTGCTCTTCAGGTCCCAATTCCTTATTCATGACTGTATCTGATTAGACTCCTAGTGAATTTTCCAAGCTTATGACCTACCATTCTTTCCTTACTCCCTCTATTCTAGCCACACAGCCTTTTCTTTCATCCTCAGACCACCAAGCTCATTTCTGCCTCAGCATTTTGCACTTCCTGTTTTTTGCCGCCAGGACCATCTTCACACGGATCTTCCTACGGCTGGCTTTCTTACTTCACGTCTCTGTTCAAATGCCTTCCTTGCCACTCTGTGGAAAAAGCACCATCCCCCACCGTCCCTCTGTATCTCCCAACCCTGCTTTATTTTTTTTCATGGCGCTATCACTACCTGTTATTATGTAACTAACCGCTGTCTTATTTTTGTTTCCTTATTTTGTTTCCTCCACGAGAATGTCATCTCCAAGAGAGGTCTTTGTACTGGTTCATCAAAGAAAGACAAAGAATGATATGTAATTATAAAACAATTTTATTTTTGTTTCCTACTGTTTGCTTCTTCTTCTTTTTACATTTTGTCTTTCCCCAGGTGGAAACTGGGGCCATCTCATGACTTTTCTCTTCACTCTTAGATCATAGAAAGCCCTGTGGTCCATAATTAAAATGTCCTGTTGGATAAGATGTTCAAACTTTGGAATTGATTTAAGGGTGAGGCCTTTCTCCCCTTTCCCAGCTGTGGCTGGTGGAAAACTAGCAGTTGAGGGAGAATGTTGTGGTCAACTTCTTGCCTTACCCATATTTGCTTTTATTTCTTCTCCCCTATTTCACTAGATGGAAGTCTTGGTCCTCCAGAGTTGGAGTACAAGGGATTGGAGGAAGAGAGGTGAGGGAAGTAGAAAAGGTCTTACTTGATCGGTACTATGTGAAACTGGGTTAGTGCTTTCTGGGCCTGACTACAGTTTTAAGAATTGACCCTTTCTTTCATGGGCACTTTTGTAGTTGATAAGCATTGCTCTCATTGCTCTGGATCTCTCTCCCTGTAGTTCCCTTGATGAAGATAAATGCATCTTTTTTCCAGTTAGTTCCTTATTTCTTCTTTAGCCCCTGAGAATCTGGCACTACCTACAGCTTCTCTGCACTGAGTTGTGTTCATCTCTCCAGGGGTCCTCTAAGATGACCTCCGCACTGGCTCCCTCTAGTGAGGGGCAATATCTGGCCCAAGAGAACACTTCCTTTTCCTTAATAATCTCTGGCTGGGCTGGCCAATCCCAGCGTTGCCAGCTCCCTCTTCCTCAGCTGTCAGAGAAATTAGTCAGCTTGTCTCCTGCAACTTAGATTTTCCAGACAACAGTCTAGAGTGTCCCTAATACTCCAGAGAACACATATTTAGCCCTTTCAATGGTCTCATTAAAGTGATCTTCTCCTGGGAGGTGAAGTGCCAGGCATCTTTCATCCCTTCTTCCAAGTATGGAGGTGGTGGTGGGACTCACAGCATAGCAAAATCCAGTGCCAGATTATGTTCTGATTGGTCAGTGCCATGCCATACTGTATGTTAAATAATTTTATTACTCCTCTGGATCCAACTATTCTTGATTTTCAAGTGGCTCAGGAACCACAGGTGGGAAAATGCAGTCTGTCTGAATTGTGTCTACAAAAACTAAGGAAGGGGAAAAAGTGGGTAATTAAATGGATAATTTGGAAAAAATGCCTCAGGTATTGAAATTTTCCTGGCAAAGTTTTATCTCAATCATTCTGAAAACTGTCAGAATTTGG